GTTAAATATATATACATGTTAAATGCTCAATAAGAGTAGGTACCGGGATACTCGCCAAATCTGCGTCTTCGATGTCTCCGGAACATGGTCTCAATCCTCAATAAGAATACTAACCTTGCTTCTCCCAAGCAAGGCCACATAGCTAGTGAATCTAGCACTGTGCTCTCCCGTGGCTCTACCTGTTTGCATGTCAAACTCGGATAGGCAATTTCTGATCGGAGCTACGGACTGATATTCAAGTCCTCAACCATGTAGCACGCCTACCCTTTTTCCTGGTAGACGGCTGACTCGATCACCACCTTGTGTAGGAGGGGGGACTGTGTAAGAGGAGGGGTACCAGATGAATCCGCCATATCTCGTGTTCAAAGAAAAAAATAATAGTTATTAATTTAGACAATATGACTCGAAGATAAACAAAAAAGTGCATACATTAAAAAATAATACATTAAAAAAAGTGCATACATTATCAAGTTGGAACATTCTCCCAAAATCCTTCCATATGGTCATAACGTGTGGCATGCACATCATCTATTTCTACATTAACACTCAAGTTTGGCATATTTGAAGAGAAACATGGTGTCTCCGGTATATCAAGTACTAATTCATCATTCTCATGAGAAGTATACATGGGTTTTTCTTGTAGAACCACTCGACCATCCTTTGTTAGCGGGATCGGTGACATAAAACACTTGTTTTGCCCGAGATGCCATGATAAATGGTTCTTCTGTATAACGAGTATTTTCAAGGTTAACCAAGGTAAATCCAAGATCGTCGGTGAAGATGCCAGTATTAAAATCAACCCACTTACATTTAAAAATAGGTACTCTGAATATCGTGTAATCTATTACCCAAATCTCTTCAATTACACCAAAGTAGCCCATTGACGCCAGTTATCGGATATTTATCCTTTGAACTCGAGAAATGCATTGATTCAGCCACCACCATGACTCCACTATTTTGCATTGTGCTTATTTCATCTTCTCCCTTTGTATAAAATGAATAGTTATTTATATCATACCCACCCCAACATATCACATCAAAGTTTGGCCCACATGCTAGTCACTTTAGTGTATCGAAGTCGTATTGTCACCTTCAACTTGTTGTTTAAACCACTTCAAAAAGCTCTTGTTGTGTTCGAGTGATCACCCACTTTTTAGGCATACGTGGATTATTTTGCTTCACAATGTCTTTATGAGCACTTAAGTAGGGGATGACTTCTTCACCGTTATTCAATATGTACAAATGCGCTTGAAGTACTTCATCTCGACACATTGTCACAATTTTTGCACCTCGAGTTCCTCTACCAAGACCTATTCCATGGTAACGAGTCTTAGGTAACCCTATAGCTTCAACTTCTGATAAGTATTGTGTGCAAAACTCAATAGTTTCCTCTGCAATATATCTTTGAACAATTGATGCTTCAGGACGATATTGGTTCTTCACATACCCTTTTAATATCTTCATGTATCGCTCAATAGGTTACATCCATCGTAAGAAAACTGGACCACATATTCTAACTTCCCTGGCTTGATGAACAATCAAGTGAACCATAATATCAAAAAATGATGGAGGAAAGTACATCTCAAATTGACATAATATGACTGCAGACCTCATTCTCTAACTGATCCAAAACATCCAGTGTCCATAACTTTACTACATATGGCATTAAAAAAAGCATAATCGAGTTAAGGAATATCTAACATTCTCCGGTAAGATACCTCAAATAGCCACAGGTAGAAGTTGTTGCATCAATACATGACAATCATGAGATTTTAACCCAAGCAATTTTAGATCTTTCATAGATACAAGTTTCTTCACATTGGAAGAGTAACCAAATGGAACCTTCACACCTCGTAAAAACTCACAAAAACTTCTTTTCTCTTTTTTAGACAGTGTGTGACATGCTGGAGGCAAGTATGTTCGGTTACCATGAGGTTGAGGAGCTAATTGTTCTCTTATACCCATTTCAACCATGTCCAAACGAGCATTGACATCATCTTTTGTTTTTCCTTAAATGTTAAGGAGCGTTTCGATGATACTGTCACACACATTTTTCTCTACATGCATGACATCTATACAATGCCTCACATCAAGAACCCTCCAATATGGAAGAACAAAAAGGATTGACATTTTCTTCCATATACCTGTGGCTTTCTTTTGCGTCTTTCCAAACTCATACGAAATCGCACTTGCTCGTTGATATACTTCTTCCCCACTTAAAGGTGTTGGGGCTGCATCATTTTCTTGACACCCGTTAAATGATTTTTTTAATTTACGATATGAATGGTTTGAAGGAAGAAATCTTCGGTGTCCAAGGTACACTGTTTTCCTTCCATGTTGTAGTTGATAGTGACATGTGTCTTCTTCACATATCGGGCAAGCTTTATGTCCCTTTGTGTTGTAGCCACTCAAATTACCATATGCTGGAAAGTCATTAATTGTACAAAATAACATTGCACGCAACTTGAATAAGTCACCTGTGTACCCATCAAACACATCAACACCTTCCTCCCACAACATCTTCAACTCTTCAACCAATGGGCTTAAAAAAACATCAATGTCATTTCCAGGTTGTCTGGGACCCGAGATCATCAAAGATAGCATCAAGTACTTACGTTTCATACACAACCACGGAGGTAAGTTGTAAATGACTAACACCACAGGCCATGAACTATGTTTACTCGCTTAAATTTCCATATGGATTCATTCCATCTCAGTAGCAAGTCCAAACCTAATGTTTCTTGGATCATTACCAAAATTCTGGAAGATGGAATCAATTTTTTCCATTGCAATCCATCTCTTGGATGCCTCAACTGACCATCTTTAATACGACTATCCGCATGCCATCTAGTGAGCTTTGCATCATTTCCATTAGTGAATAATCGTTTCAACCTTGGAACAATGGGAAGATACCATAACACTTTTGCCGGGTACCCTTCATTACATCATTGTCGAATCACCATCCTTCTTCTTGTATCGTGATTCCCCGCATTGTGGACATTCGTGAAAGTTCTCAAATTCTTTCCTGTACAACACACAATCATTCTGGACATGCATGAATTTTTTGGTACTCCATACCCATTGGACATAATATCTTCTTAGCATCATAACTGCGGGTTGGCAATGTGTTACCTTCAGGGAGCATGTCACTCAACAACTCAAGCAATTCTGTGAAACTTTTATCAGTCCACCCATTCTTTGCCTTCACATTGAACAATTTTAGTACCGCCAACAATCGTGTGAACTTAGTAAAAATTTTATACAAAGGCTTTTTTGCATCATTGGACAACTTCTCGTACACATGTGTATGTTGGAAGGCATCTTGTCCAAGCTCACGAATCATTTCCTCCAGCTGATCATCCATCTCTAGATCAACTTCTTCTTTGTCTTCTACACTTGACATGTTTAATAATTCACCATGCCATGTCCACTTTATGTAACTCTTTAGGAAACCATCACAAAGAACATGTTCCCGAATAACTTCAGTCGGTAATCTTCGCTCATTCAAGCAGTTAACACAAGGGCAATAGAATCTTCCATCATTATCCGGAACATTCATCTTAGCAAATTCAAGGAATTGTTCTACTCAACTCTCATATTCATTTGTTGTTCGTCTATAATTGATCCAACTCCGATCCATTGTTACCTTCTAATTTTCAAAATAACTACATTATAATACAAATCTAATTTTCAAAATCAAAATCACGAAAGAATGCCTACAGAAACACATTCAAATGACTAAACTACTTACAATACGTCTCTAAATTAGCTAAAGGCACCCGCAAACTTCCATCTCTTGACAACATTATTACATACCAGATTCAAAAATGAAAACTACAATGGCTAAAGCAAGCACGAAAACTTACCTCTTGAAGACCTACAGAGGTGGCAGCTGGCGTGACGTGCAGAGCTGGGGTGGGGAGAAACGTGCACAGGCGACGGGCACCAACGACAGTAGCAACAGGCGGCACAACGTACAGAGTTGGTAGGTGACGTGACGAGCAGAGCTGGGTGGGGAGAAACGTACAAAGGCGAAGACGTTCGTAGAAGATACAGAGAGAACGGGGAGCTCTGCAATGGGTGAAGTGAGAAATGGAGTGTCGCGGGAGGTGTAAAACAGAGGATATTATGTCGGTTTCCCTAACACCCGTCATCAAATACACTTTCTATATCGGGTAAATTATAACCGACATAGAAAGTTCACTTTCTATGTCGGGTAAATTTTAACCGACATAGAAAGTGAACTTTCCACTTACTATGTCGGTTAAAATTTACCCGACATAGAAAGTTTATGATTTAATTACAAAATTGCCACTGTGTTACATACTATGACGGGTGGACTACGACCGTGATAAAAACTCGTCATAGAATGTTATTTTTTCACTAGTGTCTAAAATACACTGTCATACACTATAATTATCAGAATTTCTATACAGCGAGGATTTTAGATTTATGATAAACAAATTATACTGTATTTTCAAATTTCGAATTTCACTCTCCTTGAATAAAAAGTCTCTAAATGTTTAAAATGTAAGTAATATTTGTTTCTTTATTATTTTAAACTCCTCTTGGTACACTGTCCAATATTATTTAATGTCATTATCAGAACTCGAAAACAACCTTCACGTCAAAACTAATATTAGTTTAATATAAATACAATGAAAATGTTTTTAGAACTCAATTTAAATAGAAAAAAATTAAGAAAGACAATTAAAATGATCAAATTTACCGATAAGATTAAAAATAATTGTAAAAAATATATAACGAAACCATTTTTATCGCTAATATAAACAACAGAATACTGAGAATGTTAATGAAAAAAACGAAAGTTTGACCATCCAAATTATTGTAATTATAATTACATAAAAGATAAGATAAAAAAAAAAAAAAACATTTTCTATTGTTAGTTCGATGAACCCGTGAAATGACCCTAGACAAGAAGGTATAAGAAAAGAAGGAAATTGCAGAAAGGCAATGAACATACACTAAACGGCGCAGCCATGGATTCCGAATTCCCCAACAAAGCGTTGACGAGCACGCGTTTTTCCGACTTGAACCCGCCACTTTCCGACCTCGTTCTCCAAGCCCTATCACAGTCTGGCTTCGACTTCTGCACGCCGGTCCAAGCCGCCACTATCCCTTTGCTCTGCAGCTTCAAGGACGTTGCCGTCGACGCTGCCACAGGTTCCGGTAAAACCCTAGCCTTTGTCGTCCCTCTCGTCGAGATTCTCCGCCGGTCCTCCTCTCATCCCAAGCCTCACCAGGTTCTTACTCTTGTTATGTTGAACAATGTGCATCCCTGAATACTATTGTTATTGGTTTCCATAGGGATTGAGAAATTATCGTATAAAATATTGAATGGGTTACTGGATTTTTAGTTCAATCAAGCTTTTAAACTGGGGTTGCTTTGGTGGTTTTATTGCTATCCTTGATGTTATGAGAAATTGCATTCAAATGTGACAATGTGGTTTTATTGCTATCCTTGATGTTGTGGCCGAAATTGGGGACTCTTTTTTAAAACCTTGGTTTCAGTTTATTTTGTCGGGCTTATCTATAATAACAACAAACGATTAAAATCGTCATTATTATGTGTTCATTTGTGCAGGTACTAGGAATAATTATATCCCCTACAAGGGAGCTATCAACCCAAATATATCATGTGGCGCAACCTTTCATTTCGACATTGGTGAACTTAAACTCCATTCTCCTCGTTGGTGGAGCGGAAGTAAAAGCAGACATAATGAAAATAGAGGAGGAAGGAGCAAACATATTGATCGGCACACCAGGGCGGTTATACGACATAATGAATCGGATGGATGTCTTGGACTTTAAAAACCTTGAGGTATGTATTTCACTTTTAATTTTCATGGATATTTGTTTGTATACATAGGATACAATGTTTTACTTCAGAAAAAATGTTCAAGATTTATCTTGTCATGTTGACAAAGTAATATTAATTGATGTTGTTCTGATCTTCTATGTATGCATTAGCAGATGATCACTGGTTACTTACTTCATGCTTTAAAGTTATGATCTAGCTGAAGTTGGAAAAACTGACTGAATAGAATATTTTATTTTATGTCCCCCCCTACTATTTTAGCTGATTGACATTATTGTGACTATGCTCACAGATTTTGATTTTGGATGAGGCTGATAGACTATTGGATATGGGATTCCAAAAGCAGATAACTTCTATTATATCTCAATTACCTAAGCTTCGTAGAACTGGTCTATTTTCTGCTACTCAAACTGAGGCTATTGAAGAGCTTTCTAAAGCAGGATTGAGGAACCCTGTAAGGGTTGAAGTTCGAGCAGAAACTAAATCAGAAAATGGCCCTGCATCATCAAAACAACCAGAATCTTCAAAAACACCTTCTGGACTTCACATCGAGGTAAAATTTATGTGGCGTGCACAATGCTGCAGATTAGATGTAATTTTCTATCCAATGATTTCATGTTCTCACATTGCTAGCGGACTCACTTCAATATAGTTTGGTAATTTAGCCAGCAGCTGTTCTCTCTCTTATAGTTTTACTTGAATCCATATAATAAATTTCATCTACTGCTAATAGATGCATAATGCAGGTCATATTTATCCTTTGTTTATATTCATCCTCATCCTTTTAAGTTTGCAGTACTTGGAATGCGAGGCAGATAAGAAGCCATCACAGCTAATAGATATCCTTATTAAGAACCGCTCTAGAAAAATTATAATGTAAGATACATGTTGATAATTAATGAGGTGATTTTTGCAGAAAAGTATTTTATCATACCCTAAACATCATTTTGACTCTAAGAATGCAGATATTTCATGACTTGTGCTTGTGTTGATTATTGGGGAGCTGTCCTTCCTTCTCTTTCTGTTTTGAAAGGGTTCTCCTTGATTCCCCTACATGGAAAGATGAAGCAGGTATAGTTTTGGGTGATAGTATTTTTTGATATTGAAACATAATATTCTATAAATCGACATTGTTTTTCTTATTTCCAATTATGTTGTCAATGTTTGACTGTTTATGTACTTGATTAATTTTTTTTTTTTTTCCATCTAGTCTGCCAGGGAGAAAGCATTAGCTTCATTTACATCCCTTTCGAATGGAATTCTGCTATGTACAGATGTAGCTGCACGTGGACTTGACATACCAGGCGTTGACTGTATAGTGCAGGTACCTCTATGTGACTGTGACCTTGTAGATGATACTGTCTATTGACTAATGTGTTTCATCTTCTGTAGCTCTCTTTTTCTTGGTTGCTAAAGTAATCCATACATTGTGGTTGAAATGTTTTCTTGTGCAGTATGATCCTCCTCAAGATCCAAATGTTTTCGTACATAGAGTAGGTCGAACTGCTCGACTGGGCAAACAGGGGCATGCTGTTGTCTTCTTATTACCAAAGGTTTGTTCACAAGTATATTCATATTGTAACTTTTGATAATCCATGAAGGATTCTTCATAAATGTCCAATTTATTGTAATGTAATCTATATTTGATACAAATGTGTAGGAGGAATCTTATGTAGAATTCTTGCGTATAAGAAGAGTTCCTCTCCAAGAGAGAATATGTTCTGATGATGCACCAGATGTTGTACCTCAGGTTTGCTCTAGGCATTTACAATCTTATTTTTGTTTTTCCATATTATTTGTATCAACAGAATAATGGTTAGTGATACTTATTAGATCTATGAACTAATTAATCATTTCTTCTAACTTCTAATAGAGTTAACAAAACAATAAGTGGAAATAAATTCCCTTGTACAACATACCAAAGCTCTGAATGCTACCTAGGCTGATGCTGATGTTTTCTCATTCACTTGTAAAAGTTTTGTTTTGATTGATTGTTTTTGTAAACATGGTTACCAGTCCTATATTTATCAAACTGCAAATTATATATGAAACAGTAACATTTTCCAATAACACCACTATTAATCAAACTTGCTTCAGATTCGTTCTGCTGCAAAAAAAGACCGTGATATCATGGAGAAAGGAATTAAGGCTTTTGTCTCTTACATCCGTGCTTATAAAGAGCATCACTGCTCCTATATTTTTAGGTGAGTAACGTTTAGGTATAATGTTGCTTTCACTTTATACTAAATGTTGTCATCATCAAACTAATATTCTCACTCTTACAGGTGGAAAGAACTTGAAATTGGGAAATTGGCCATGGGATATGGCTTATTACAACTTCCTTCAATGCCAGAGGTAAAACACCATTCACTTTCCACTGAAGGATTTGAAGCGGTTGAAGATATAAATTTTGAGGACATTAAGTACAGGTAAAAACATTTTTACAATTCATAGCATAACTTTTCTAGTTCTATAAAAGCATTGCCAAGAACCATTTCTCCCCAAAAATGTTTCAACTGTGAGGTGAAAGCTGTCTTTATCACGTCTAACATGTCACATAAAGGGCTTCAAGCAAAGGGCCAGGCCACCTGACCTTGTACTGAAATTTATCATTTTTATTTTGAAGAATGGATATTGCATGTGTCATACACTCTTTATTGGACACTTGGTCAAGAGTCTCAAATACCGTGACAAGGACTTTTGTTTCCAAAAAGATAAAGTTGATAGGTTAAAACTCGTGAATGGTTTTACATATCTAGTAAGAATCAATTGTAGGAATGTTATCGTGGGGAATGAAAACCATACATAGCTCTTACTTTATTGTAATATTTTTAATGGACGGCAATTGAATAAATACCTTATTGTGGTTTGTTTTATTTGAAGCTTACTAATGTGGAGGACTGACGTTGGAACAGTATAAAATTTCAGTAGTTTTGTCATGAGATAGCGTTATCACACATATTTATTATATTTTATAAAATTATGATATAGTAAACTTGAATGTATAATTATATTTTAATATTTTATAAGATAATTTAAGTTGAGCCCGAGCTTGAGTTTAAAAAGTAAAATTAAGTTGGAGCTTAAGCTTCTTCCTAATTTTTATCTGACTTATCAGGGGAAATTGAACTCATGTTTTAAGCTACTTTTGTAGGCGAGAGGGGTCTGGAAGCCGTTCTTTTGTTTACTTATGGTTATGTTCATCTATATAAATAATGGAATTATCCAATACCCCTTTTATGACGATAAAATGATGCCCCATATTAATTTCTTGTCTTGTAAGATTTACTATTTACTTCAATGTGAATGTCCTGGATTCATATTTTCTTTCTATGATCCTAAATTTAATTTCCTTTTGTCTCTTTGAAACCTGTCTGATGTCTTAACTTGAACAATATAGGGACAAATCACGTGAGAAGCAAAGGAGGAAGAACCTGCAAGCAAAGAAAGAAGCCAAAGAGAAAGAGCCAAAACCTCAAAAGCCGAAGAAAACCCTAGATGCTGTCATGCGGAAGAAAACAGCTCGACAGAGACGTGCTCAGCAGACAGTAGAAGACGAGGAAGAGTTGATGCAAGAATACCGCTTGTTGAAGAAATTGAAGAAAGGGACCATAGACGAGAATGAATATGCCAAGTTGACAGGCACTGAGGAATTACTTTGAAAGTAAGGTGTGGATGCCTGATTATACTGTTCTGGATATCATGGGGTGTTGTCAAGGTATTCATAATGAATGGCAATGCCAATTACCGCAATTTTGACTAGTAAATTACGACATCCTTGCCATGTGGTTCTGTTGGCATCCTTTGAAAATTCTAAAGATAATTACATCTTTCACTAGAAATGGAGTTTGAAGAGTTCAGAAGATCGAATTCCATTTGGTTGTTGCTACAGCCATTAAAACCTACAGTGAACTGAAATGCGTTTACAGACTGTCGTTCAGGGAAAATTGTCACAGTGCAGAGATTTGTGGCAAGGTTATGAAAGAATGAAGATTAATATAATCCAAAATCGTTTGCCTTAATTAGTCTGGTAGTTGTGCCGGAGCATCAAAGTAGAACCATGTTTTAGGTGTTTGTAAGATATAAAAACTGAGCCATATTATAAAATATCTTCCGTGTACTCTTAAGTGAATGTTAATATATAAGTCAATCATTTTATTTCTGCCTAGAGGTAGTTCTGTTCTGTCCATGAAAACGTTCAATTAACTTCGGGTTTGTTTGGAAGAATTTTTTCATAAACTTCTTCCATGAGAAAAATATAAGAAGAAAAACTATTAATAGTTTCATTAAAAGCTAAAATTAGTTTAGTATGAATTAACTTGTACAAGTTTCTTATTTATTTTTATTTTGTTCACAAGTTAACTTTAGTTTACAGAAAAATGAAATATATTTATTTTTATTATCTTTTAAAAAGAGTTTACGGAGGAGAAGTTTGTCGGTAAAGGCAGTTAAATTAGGATGTTTTATTTAATAAGATGATCCTTTCTTGCCTTTGGACATCCTTTGAAGCAAGATTATAAAGCACCTAGGAGACTAAGCCGGCAAAGCTGAGAGGCAAGTTTTCAAAAGCAAGGGTGAAAGCAACTGAATGCGAAACCACCCACTGATTCATCAAAACTTCCAGGTAACAGCATAAATATCTCAACACCAATAGAAACACAGCAACATATTCTTCACCATGGAACTTTTTAGCCCCGTCTAATTCACGTTGATGACAATCAAAGTGAAGCACCACGGTTGTGGCCCCACGAAAATTATACCATATTCACCATCGTCTTCCGTAACATGAAATTACTTGGAAACCGGGGCTTGTCAATTAGTCTGTCTTTTGAAGATGATGAATAAACTAAATATCTGAATTGAATTACACTTTAATGTTCTCCACTCACGTGCGTAAAGTGAATGGTAACGATCTTAACTTTGCTTTACACTTCACCATTTGATATCAAAATGCACTTTTTTCATCTAGCCTTACTCAATATCTCCGTCACAAATTACATGCACACAAACTCACATTTCACTGTTTCACTGATAATAACAAGGCATGGATGATTGTTGCGTATACGGTACGTGTGCGAGGTTGTCCAAGTCACACGTTGCATGAAAATATATAAATCTTTTGCTATAAAAAAATCCTCACTTTAAAAGGAACTTCAGATAACTACCTTTTCTTCACAAAAATAGATTTTGAGTCTCTCTTTGTCATACTTCTATTTAGTGGTCTTAATAAGGATATATTTTCTTATGCATCAGCATCAATTTTTTGTTGTAATTATTCGTTATTAAGTCTTCAGCATTTTAAAATTCTTCTTCGGACACGTAGATCTCAGTCGTTGATTTAAAGAACATTATTTGTTGAGATGCATCGTCTTTTAGAACGATCCTATTCAGAGAATAAGAACTAAGTGGTCTTTAGAATGAGCTGACAATATTGGGATCCACTGACTTGTAATCATAGTTGTTGATTTCATAGAGATGGCGAGCCAGTTGGGTCTTATAATTTTCATCAAGAGGATAGGTCTCAAAACTATCCCAGATGTAGGTTTCATTTCTTGATCATAATTGACCTACAAGATTTGAAAAGTATGGTCGATGGATGATGAAGATCGAGGTTAGAATCCTCTTACGCTCTTGTCTCCACTAAAATAGTGGTGAGAACCACTCGAATAGAGTCCAGAAGTGAAAATATTCCTTGTAAGTATCTGTCAAAATCGTATACGCTTGTTGTGTCTTTAATGCGATAGGGTTAAAATATTGAACAATATCACACCATATAATCTACAGTATTGGCTCGCAAAGGTCCCAACCCGGGTTATAGAATAATTCAAAAATTTTCCCAAAAGGAATGTCAGGGTCAAACATGGAGGTTGGGATGACCTTGTATTTCATGGTTTTAGGAGAAAGTAGAAATAGTGAGACTTTTCATAGTAAAGGATATCTGCTGGTATGATTTAGTTTAATCCAGGAGGATAAATTTTGACAGTTTTGACTTTGTTAGAGAGAGACTTGACCATGAAGATCAAAGGAAGACTATAGGTGTCAAAAATCATTTGGACAATTTTTTTTTTGTCTAGACAAAAAGTCAGGGACCGTGTTTAAATTTCCTTTTATGTGCTTAATAGTAAAATCATACCTAAAAAATCAGTCAATTAACCGGAGAACCTGAGGACTAGGAGACATTTTATTTTTGAACTCTAGGATCTTCGAAAATGAAAAGTTGTCCATTTGTACCTCAAAATGATGTCCTCTGAGATGGAAGTCAAATTTCTTTAATTCATCATTTACGCCCAAAGCTTCCTTGAAGGTGGTGTGGTAATGTTTTTCGGCATCCTTGAATTGTCCGCTTGCATGGCCACAATAATATCTTTTTCCATTGTCTTCTTCGATGAGCACTGCTCTCCAATAGTCATCACTGGCATCTGTCTGCAATATCCTTTTTCCATTGCCTGTAATCTTCAGTGCTAGAGGAGTTTGGGCTACTTTCTTCAGTTCTTTGATTGCTCGAGTTTGTTCTGGTCCCATGGAGATGGATTCTTCCTTAGTAATTTGGATAAAGGACTTGTATACCTGGTGAATTTAGGGATGAATTCCCTAATGTAGTTAACTATCCTAAGAAACTGTTGGATCTACTTGACTGTCAGATTTTCATCCGAGAAGTTAAAGAGTTCTTCAGCAATGTGAGGTTGGCGTTGATATGAGCCTTGATAGAAATGTATACCCAAAAATTCAATTTCCTTTTGGGCCAAGTGGATCTTCTTCTTTGAGAGCATAATCTCATGTTGATAGGCTATTCCGAAAAATTGATCCAATAACTGTTTATGAGAGTCCATATCTTGTGAGAACAGTAGGATGTCATCAATGTAAATGATCGCTCTGTCTAGTATGAGCTTAGAGATTTTTGTCATGACTTTTTGAAACAGTGATGGGGCTGTCTTAAGCCTAACAGACATTACTTTCCATTGGTATTGGGCATTGGGTATACAGAAAACAATCTTGTATCGATCAAATGGGTCAATGCCTAATTGCTAGAATCCGGATTTGAGGTCAAACTTAGAAAAGATACAAACTTCTTTTATCAGAGTAGGTAAGGATGAGGCTTTGAGTATTGGGAATTTGTCATCCTTAAGAAAATGATTACGAGGCTTGTAATCACTAACCTCTTTTTTCCTCTGATATTTTTCAGACCTCTTTCCACATAAAAGGCTTGACAAGTCCAATTGGATTCGGTTGGTTCGATCAGGCCTTGTTTCAACAGTTCCTGACATTCTTGTCTTGCTAACTGTAGGTCTAATAAAGACATTCCTGGATGTATGACTTTCGTCGAATTGACGTCTTCGTTGAGCTTGAAGGGTATCTGTACAAAGAACTCAAGATTCTTTCACAGAGGCTTAGCATGAGAAAATTCTTCATGGTTGTTAGCGCACAAGGTGGCTAACTTGTTCTTTATTTCTTTCAAGTATGTAGGAGCTTCAGAGAGGGAAAAGAGTCTGGGTATGTCTGTGAAATATTTGAATTCCCTATTGAACGTGATTCTTGTAGGATGGATAAGAAGCTTGTTAGTCATGGAGAAAATATTCATACCTACCAGTATACCTTTATTGGGAAGCTTGCTCTCAATTACTTTGGATCTGTACATTCTAGAAAGAATTTGATTCCAATTGGAGCTTTAGTGATCAACTCAGTTTTGAAGATTTTTCTATTAGCTGCAACGAAGTAAGAGACTTCCTTCTTCCAGAATTCTTTGAGAAGGATGTCAGGATCTATCATAGACTTTTGGGATCCTATGTCAACATGAGCTATGACTTTGATGGTTTTCTCATATTTTGAAGGAAGAATTTGGACTTCCAAGCATGGTTGTGAAGGAGAGATATTGACAGGGTTGCTCTCTTGAGAAGAAAATATTGGAATAGTATCAATTTCTAATTCATCAAAATATTTTTATTTTGTCTCATCAGAGGAGATGGTGAGGGCAAAGATGATTTCTTCATCTGCAGAGCTCTGTTCTGAATAAAGAGACTTTATATTGTCATTATCATCGAGCTTGAGGATGGAGATGAGCTTTATAGCTCTTTCAGTTTTGTGGGGACAGTTCCGGGAGAAATGTCCTTTCTTTTTGCAGATAAAACATCTTTGGTCTTGTGTTTTTCCTCTGAACTTCTTCTTTTTGAAGAATTTAAAATTCTTTTTCTTCTTCTTGCGGGTTATTGGCTTTTTCTGCCTTTTCTTCTTGCAGTTGCCTGAACAGGGCTTCTTGCATTTTATCTCAAGGTAGAGTTTTTGGTAAGCTTTGTTGAACTTATTTTTCTGAGTTATGATGTCAGAAAAGAACTTGTGTTATCTGCAAAGCTTGTCAACTGCTTCGAGGATCATTTGGTGTATTTGACCCATAGTCAAGGTGGTGAAATCCTTCTAGATAGTCATTGACATCCTGTTTAGTTCTGGTTGTATATCAGCAAGAAGGGATGCAACATAAGTGTTCTTCAGGCTAGGATTATTGATTCCATTAAGGTGGTAAAACCTCTTGCTCATTCGCTAATATTGTTTCTCAAGGTATTTGATCTTAACTGAGCAACATCTCATTTTGAAGAACTCTTGCCTGAGCTTCTTATTGATTATCGAGTCATCCCCTATGAATTTTTCATGCAAGGCTCCGAGTACTGCTGAGGTTTGTCCCAATTCATGGAATTGGTTATATCGGACAACTCCGAGGTTATGATATCACTCTTTGAGAGTTCCAGTCGTTCTGCAACAGAATTCTTCTATGACCTTATAGGAGTCAAAGTCTTTGACTAGCTTGGTGTCTAACCAAGTTCCAAATTCGATCAACATCGCTCTCCATTGGCTTGAAGGGATGTCATCAATAGTGAATCAGGGTCCACCATTTGGCTCTGAAGAAGCATTTATCCTAGTAAGACTAGAGTCAACTTCTTCATTAGGAGGGTCATAGATGAACTCATGCCTGACTTCTGATCGGGTTAAGTCTTCATAACTTGGAACTTCTATTTTTGACTCTTCAGAGGAATAACCTTTAACAATTATAGGGTATGTAGAAGTATTCGTAAGAGTTGGAGTTGTAGGAGTATCCGTAAAGGTTGGAGTTGTAGGAGTATCTACAAAGGCTGGAGTTGTAGGAGTATCCGCAAAGGTTGGAGTTGTAGGAGTATCTGTAAAAGTTGGAGTGGGACAAGGCTCTATAGCCATTTGAGAGTATGAATCTTGAAAGTCTTGGAAGATCAGGTCATACGGGTCTTGTTTTTTTTGTGAAGGTAGATCTTCAAAGGAAGATTTTGGAGAAGGTGTGACAACCTTCTTGCCTTTGTCTGGTCTTGGTGTTGTTGGTCTAGGTCGTGGCCTGTAAGTAGTGGTTGTGGGGAATGACCAGGAGGTTTGTGGTGATGGCTGGAAGTATGGAGACGGGTTATGGAAAGATGAGTAGGTCGGGCTCTGGAAAAAAGAGTAGGCTGGAGATGAAATAAATAGGGAAAAATATGGATCTTTCTCTGTTTTCTGTTGTTTGACTTTCGCCTCAATGTAATTGTCCATCTCCTAGATTTGGGCCTTGAACCTTTTGATCTCTTTTTGCTTGGCGTGAGATAGCTCTCCCAAAATGGTGTTTTTCCAATCTTCTAGCCTCGAGAGCTCTAAAGAAAGTTATTTGTAGTACTTCCTCATATTGGAGTTGAGATACTAGAGTTTATCATCAGTCTCCTCAAGGTGCATAGAGATCTTGTTTATTTTTCTGATCTAGTCTATCTGTTGCAGGATAGAGTTCTAGGCTCTTGTATATTTTTTTCCAGTTAAGTACTTCTTCAACCTGGCTTAAGGGTTTCAGTTTTCCATCCGACTTCCTGTCCAATAACATGTGGTTTGGTTGTTGTCTTAGACATGGGATCAACATTCCCCTCAAGAGGAGGAAATTCTTCTTTGTAAGCAGTCGGGTTGCTCATCATATATGAGATAGAAGGAGTAATAGGAGGTGACATGACAAAGGTTCTGCACCTTTCTAGTTTCTGGAAGAGGTGACTTTCCTCTTCAAGAATCTCAGCACATCGCCGGTATTTCCGAAAGGGATCTAGCTTCTCTTGGCGATGGAGTCATATCCAACGACCTTTTCCTGGTTTGAATCTTTTACTGGGAGAGAAAGAAGGTTTACAGGATCCTCCTCTGTAGTCATCACTGGTATCTCCAGTGTGGTCGCAACAATCACAGTCGGAATCGCACATGTCTGGAGTCAGCATCCCAGATGAAGTGTCCTCCTATCTTATCTACGAAGATAGATTTGCCGTTAGGATACACGCTAACAATGGGGATCTTGCCTTCTTTGGTGACCGGCATTATCATCATGGACTGGAAGATCGAGGTGCTTGATTTGGGAACATCTTCAAGATTTTTGAAAATGGTCTTGACTGTGCTTTCTACGGATCTTTTAAAAGTTGTCTCAGTGAATTGGATAGGCTTCTAGTTGACGTGGAACTTTTCATAGTTGGTCACTCATTGCATCGGAATCAGTTTCTGCCACTCTTGTTGAGAAATATTTCTGGGGATTTGAATTATTGAAGGTGTCTTATCTTGGTTGTTAGCCAAGACGAATAATTTTCTGTCTTTATAGGAAGGTAACATAAGGTTTATAGCATGATCTTGCAACCGATAGATAATCTGATCATGAAGAGTGGTTGATAGTGCATCAGCTACCTGCTCAACTCCAATAATCTAGATCTGGACCTTTAATCTCGGAGAGATGGTGGGATCTTTCAAGCTAAAGTTAAAGTTAGGAAAAATTGTTAGAACTACACTCCCAACATGGAAAGTAGTCAGAATAGTGTCGATAACAACATGTTCACAGTAAAGGTAGCTAGAGTCTAAAAGAGAGACTCTTGTTGAGACAGGTAGTCCCCATCTTCTATGGAGGGAAAGAACTAATCATATAGCCCCGTAACGGAGATGAGTGTATCATTCGTTTTGTCAGTACCTTATGAGATCTTTGAAAATATCGATGTTGACGTATTGTTCTTTTGTGGTGGAGGCAAGGGTACACTGGTCTATTCTGGAGGATTTGACATACTTCTTGACTTTAAGGTCTTTTGGTAAAAATAAGTGGGGAAATAGATCTAAGAGTATATTTTTGTCTCTTAAAAATATTATAAAGGCTCAAAAGAACGGAGATTTGAGTATTTTCCGGGACATACAAATATTTTATAAAGTTTTCTATCTTAGAGGAAAGAGTTTTTGAGATATTTTTAGAAAAAGAAGAAGAAGAAGAGAGAGTAGACTTTAATAAAATGGGATCGGAGTCATCGGTGATGTTTGATTATCCATCTCCAATACTTGAGTTTAAAAAATTATTTTTCCCAAAATCTTTGGTTAATTAATCAATAGAAATATGTTTATTGCAAAATTTTGCAATTTTAACCAACAAACTAATCTCATATTCCGATTCGATTTGGAATGGAGTGGAAAGAAATTTACTTTCTTTTTAGTCCCTTTAACCTGGTAACTCTAGTTAAACTTTATCAATTTCGAAGATTGATTAGGAGAATAAGTAGTAAACAAAAGAGAAAAAGAAAATGCGAGGGAGGAAAGAAACAAATTGAAATAATGATTGGAAAGTTTTTCTTCTATTCATTCTGAAAACGTAGATTGAAAACAAATAATCTGCACGGAATTAAGATTACTGAAAATTTAAAGTGAAAGCAAGTGGATTACATTGAATATAATAAGAGAACAATTAAAGGGTGAAAAGCAAACAAATGAAATGTAAAGAATGGTATATGGTCAGTTTGAATGCTAGAATGATAACTCAGACAAAGAATAAAGTGCGCAAAAGTAAAGAATTTTAAAGGTAAAAAATGCTAGAAAGTTAGAGTGCTAAAAGAGTAAAGAATTTTAAAGAGAAAATTCTAGAAGATTAAAGTGCTAAAAAGGTAAAAAACACTATAAAAGTAAAAGGATTGAATGTAAATTGTACAGGGTTGATGAGTTTTTGCAAGTCTGAACAATGAAGTTTCAATATTTATTACATGGTATAAGTTGATATTAATTAAAATTAAAAAATATTTTAAATAGCTTTATATTTTATATTTTCTTTTTTGAAGAAATAATATGCATGAAATCTTTGATAAGAAAAATTACTCAAAAAACTTTGATAAACGTAAAGTGAATGCTGAAATTTTAAGAAGCATTATTTTCCCAGGAAAAAAGTGAAGTGAAGGTCAATGCTTAAGCTTAACCGGAGTTGGTTTGGATCGTGCAATGATTCCTCGGCTTCTGGGAGCTTATATAAGCCGCCAATTCTTAATCAACGTCCGACACATCGTATGTTTCTTTGTTGCAGCATTTCAGACACTGTACCTTTTCTTCACCATGTCCAATCCCAAATCCGAGTTAATGTCTGAGCCCTCTGTTTCAGAACCTCCACCGACGCAACCCTCTGTGCCCATTTCCTACCCAATCAAAACCCTTGAGGAGTTGGAGTCTCGCTCGTATTTCGACTCCTTTCACTACCCTTTCAACAAGGCGTCGGTTCCCATTCTCAGTGGAGATTCTTCTTCGTTGCCCCATAGGCGCAGATTGCTTGTGTGCCATGACATGGCTGGGGGCTACTTGGATGACAAGTGGATTCAAGGTGGTACTAACCCCGATGCTTATGCCATTTGGCATTGGCACATGGTCGATGTCTTTGTCTACTTTTCACACAGTGTCGTTACTCTTCCTCCTCCGTCGTGGACTAACACTGCTCATCGCCATGGTGTTAAGGTACTTGCTTCGACAGAATTCTGGCTTTGCTTGAACAACAGTGTTACATTTTTATGTTTGTCTGGCCTTAGAACTTGCTTTTGAGCTTAACTCAGCTCATCCAAAACTATCATTAATCACAATAATAGGTTCTTTTACTATTTTAGAATTTGAGTTTGTGTTTAACTCAATTCATGGTACTACCCAATAACATGTGGCCTTATATGTCTAACATCGACAGTTAGTATAGGTTTTGATGCTATCTTCTAATTTGGCCTTTGCTTTGACAAAAATGTTAACGTTTTTAAGTTTGTTGCAACTTTTAGAATTTGGGTTTGGATCTTACTTGGTTCATGATATGAACTCATAATGAGTGATATAATGGCTCTAACAACCGTAACTGCGACAAGTTCGTATACAGTATTAGAATTTGAGTTTCTATAGTGAGTAACTGGTCTAACAACAATCAGTAGGTCGTTATAATTCCATGTTAGAATTTGAGTTTCAATAATTGATGGCCTAATAGGTCTATCAGCAATTAGGTCTGAAACCATATTAAAATTTGAATATAAATCTAACTTACCCTTAAAAACAACCAGTTTTTGAAATGAGTGTTAACACCCAGCTACTCAATGCGGCATTTCCGATGGTGATCATATAAAAGTTTGATCGATTATATAACCTCACATATAGATTTTAAAGTTCTGAAAAATTGTTTCCTTTTTAGTTTTCAAGGTCATTTATTTGCTTAAATGTTTAAGTGACCTGCGATCATTCTGATAACTTTAAACTTCTTTTCTTGTTCTTTTATTGGAGTTCATCTTTTTGGCATTTGAGTTTGATTCTTGCTTGGAGATGTTTTTGACATTATTGCTCATGCTTTAATTAGAAAATAGATTATTCTTTGGCAGTACTTGTTACTTAAATATTTCAGGTGTTGGGGACTTTCATTACTGAATGGGATGAGGGAAAGGCTGTCTGTGATACACTACTGTCAACAAAGGAAACTGCACATATGTATGCAGAACGTCTGGCTGAGCTTGCCACGGAGTTAGGTTTTGATGGGTGGCTAGTAAGTAATTTGTTCTCATGCTGTACAGCCCTGTATTTTGGATATTCCTGACAATTATTCAAACTCGTAGCATCTAAATGCAGATAAATATGGAAGTGAAGTTGGATCAGGGTCAAATTTCTAATTTGAAAGAGTTTGTAGACCATTTATCATTAACTATGCATTCTTCTGTGCCTGGATCGTTGGTGCTATGGTGGGTATTAGAAGATAAGTCAGCAATTTTTTTATCGCGTTGATTGTGCCTAAAGTTGACTTTGATGTGTTTTCCTGGTCATGTAGGTATGACAGTGTTACAGTTGATGGTAAATTGAATTGGCAAGATCAACTAAATGAACATAATAAGCCGTTCTTTGATATATGCGATGGAATATTTGTGAACTATGCATGGAAGGTATTGTTTATCTTCCCCAGGCATGCTGGTGCGACCATAATGTTTAATCAATATTCATTTTCTTTATTTAATTTTAATGTGTACCATGTAGGAAGACTATCCAAAGCTTTCCGCTGCTGTTGCCAGTGAACGGAAGTTTGATGTGTACATGGGAATTGATGTATTTGGAAGGAACACATATGGTGGTGGACAGTGGAATGTAAGTTGTTTGTGATATACAGTTTGCTATCCCAATGTTGAACTTGTTTGGGAATAAATTTTTTTATTGTCCTGAGTGTAACTCATATCAGAAGCTGAACTGAACATGCTAATTTGACATTTAATGGGATATCATAGATGATCTGGATGCTTTATCTCATTTAAGCATAGTACATGGTCTTTCTTGTTTCATTTTTTATAAGACTCGTCCCAAATAAGAAAAAGAAAAGTCATGCAAACAACAGCAACGACCAAAACAAATTTTTTTACTTCCCATTTTGGCTGCCAGACTATGAAATACATCATGTTCTTCAAATTCAATTTCATAACTAGGATTAAAAGTTACAATTAAATATGGTTTTGTGCAATACTCTAGACATTTCAACCATCAAAATGCTTTGGTTTCATTTTGGTTATTGCAGAATATATAATGAATGCACTTAATGTTAAAGTAATAACTGCCTTAAAATAAGTTCTTATTATTGTAAAATAGGGGTATTGCAAAACCTAAAATGTGTTTCACTAACCTAAAACGTGTCCACTAACCTAGAACATGTTCCACTAACTTTAGAAGTGCTCCACTCTCCCATGTTTCCAAGGCACAACCACCCATGATGTTGAATGCAGAGATGTGTTTGTTGCTCATACTACACCTATAAATAGACCACTCTACACTCCTCCAAAAATACACCTCACTCATCTTCTCTTCTCTTCTCTCACACTTCTCTTCTCTTAGGTTTACACACACTTTTAAGAGTTTTTGAGTTCCTCGGGAAATCCGAGAAGTTCCTGTTGTATCCTAAGAAACTTGCGCAATACTTCGCGGATAAGTCCTTAAGGACAATGATTTTACACAGCTCAAGAATCAAGTTTTTTGGTGTCTCTATCGGCTTTTACAATAATCTTAAGGACTTATATATGATTGTTAAGAGGTTTAGTTGATTGATTGTCAATTATAGACTATTACTTTTCATTATCTTGAATTGTGATTTGATATTTGGAGATGATTTTTACACTTATCTAGTTGAAAATGATCTAAAGAGTTTTTATAGAGGTTAGTAGTGTTTCTGATGCAACACATTGAGGTAAGGTCATAAGACTAAAATTGATTCAACCAAGAAAATTAATACTTTGACCTTAGTATATTTGTATAAGGGAGCAAAACTCATTGGTTGTAAGTGGACCTTTAAGAAAAAGTATCATCCTAATGGATCTATAGATAAATATAAGGCAAGATTAGTAGCAAAGGGCTTTACTCAAAAATACGATATTGATTATTTTGATATTTTTGTCCCTGTGACTAGGATTTCTTCTATTCTAGTTTTGTTAGCTCTAACAGTTATCCATAAGCTATTTATACACCAAATGGATGCTAAGACAACCTTTTTGAATGGTGAATTAGAGGAGAAAATTTATATGACTCAACATGGAGGGTGTGTTGTTCCTAGTCAAGAGAACAGAGTGTACAAAATTTTAAAATCTTTGTATAGATTAAAACAGACACTAAAATAATGGCATGAAAACTTGATAGTGTTCTACATTGTGATGACTTTTCAACTAATGATACCAATAAATGTGTGTACTCTACATTTGGAAGTGGTAAATGTGTCATTATATGTTTATATGTAGATGACATGTTAATATTTGGTACATGCATTGACACAGTCTCTACAATTAAGTTGTTTCTGGGATCTAAATTTGAAATGAAAGATATGGGTGAAGTCAATGTTACTTTGGGAGTCAGAATCATAAGAAAGAGAGATAGTATTTTACTATCCCAAGAACAATACATTGAGAAACTTCTTAGGAAGTTTGCGTATTATGACTTCAAACCAGTGAGTACCCTTATGACGCTAAATCTAAATTAAAGAAAAATAGAGGAGACTCAATCTCTCAACCTCAGTATGCCCAAATAATTGGGAGCTTACCGAATTTAATGAATTTTTCTAGACTTGACATTGCTTATGCAGTAGGTAGATTGAGTAGGTACACTTAATATCTTAACCAGGAACATTGGGATGCACTTACATGTTATGAGATACTTAAGAAGTTCAATGAATTATGTCATTGAATATAATGGATTTCCTGTTGTACTAGAAGGGTACAGTGATACTAACTGGATCTCTGATTCAAATTAGACAAAATCCACTAGTGGTTATGTATTCACACTCGGGGGTGGTGCGATTACATGGAGACCAGTTAGGCAAACAATTATTGCAAGATCAATAATGGAATCAGAGTTTGTTTCTCTTGAAATGGCTGGTAGTGAAGTTGAGTGATTGAAAAACTTCTTAACAAATATTCCGTTAGGGATGAAACCAATCTCGTCTGTGTCAATACTCTGTGATTGTCAATCAGCAATAGCTATAGCTAAAAACAAGAATTACAATGAAAAGAATAGACATATACAACTGAGACAATTTGGTGAAATAGCTGCTAAAGAATGGAACAATTTCCATTGACTATGTGAAGTCATAACGAAATCTAGTAGATCCTCTGACGAAACCCTTAGGGAGAAAAATGATTTTAGAAACATCAAGGGGAATAAGACTCAAGCCACTTGTAAACAAATAAGAAATGGTAACCCAACCTTTGCGATTGGAGATCCCATGAATAAGGTTTTTATGGGTAAAAACAAGTCATTTGTTAGTTCTATTAGCACTAAAATTGATTAAAATCAATTATGTCAATTCTTATGGTGTGTGAGTGCTAGATTCTGCATCATTGAGAGGTTAAACTTTATAATTAAAATTCTATATGGTGTACGAGTTTTAGTCTAAATAAAATTTTTAATAATTTTATATCCCTTACGAGTGGTATATGATTTGTAGTATACGCTTGATGAAATCACCTATATGAGTGTTAACTGGGGCCGCTTGTATGATATTTTTGCAAGATTTCTATAACACTCATGAATACGGGGCAAGCACATGGCCTAGCAAGGTTATCAGAATCGAGAGTCTACGTTGACTCGTGAGAGCTTCGTAGACTCGACTCGTAAACCCGACTCGTAGACTCGTAAGAGTCTACTTCATATGAAAAATTCTATATAATAATACAAATTCAGAATTTCATCATCACAATTAATGAAAATAAAAAATAATAATTCAATAATTCGAAAATAACTTGGTTCAACACAAATGATTGTTATATAAGTTCAAATTACACCAAATACATAAGTTAATACAAAACACCAAATACATAAGTTAATACAAATCACCAAAATATAAATAACTTCAACTTTCTAGCTCCAATCCTCTAATTATATCATCTCCAACATCATCATCTTTTTCATCTTCATCATCATCTTCTCCATCACCGACAACCTCTTCCTTGGATGATAAGAGTGCATCATCAACATTGACATCAAACACTATATTATCAAGATCAATTGGCTCTAAAGTAGGATCAACTGAACTTATTTCAGTTATGTCAAGATTTTCCTCAACACCTTCACCTTGAACTGGCTCAATCCCAACATTATCACCATTTTCTGTTATCCATTCATAATCAGACTCAATATCATCAAATGGGAGAGCAACTGTTTTCCTATTTTGTTTATTTTTGAGTTTCAAGTTGTACATGACATAAAACAAGTCATTCATCTTTTTCTGGTGCAAACGGTTTCTTCTTTTTGTGTGAACCTATAAATAAATATGAATGTTTAAATACAAAAAATTAAAAACAAATAATAACTTAACAAATTTGACTTACCATTTCAAATGAGCTCCAATTACGCTCACACCTAGAAGAGCTACAAGTTAAGTTCAAAACTCGAATAACAAATCGCTTCAACTCTGGAGTTCCATCTCCAAACATTTCCCACCATTCTCCAGGAAACATAACTTTCCTACAATCTTTTGCATTTTCCATTGAGAAAAGTCCTTTTGCAAAATGAAACTCTAGAAGTTGTAAATTAATTTTTTTCCTTTCTGCAACATCCTTTACCAATCTTTTCATGCATTCATACAACCCTTCTTTTACCTCCACATCATCATTTCTAAAATTAGGTTCATAGTGCATGTGAGGGTTAAGGTAATATGCAGCCGCATGCAAAGGTCTATGAAGTTGATTATTCCACCTCTCATCAATTATGTTCCAAACAGGTTCATAACTACAATGATGCAATCATGCAATATTAGAAATAATTACACAAAATAAAGAATGAAAATCTAAAGAGAGAAAGTTTATAAATTTTACCTTTTCTTAATATTATTAAAGTTAAATTTGATCTTCTCTTTGTCGGAATCCATTTCTTCATAAATGAAACTCATTGCGGGTTTTATATCTGAATCCACTAATCGAAGGACCACCATTAAAGGGGCAGCAACTTTGAGACAAGTGGTTACATTCTTCCAGAACCAACTATCTAATACCACATGCTCAATTTTTCTCCCTTCTATTGAAGTTCCAAATTTGCTTGATTTCCACTCATCAGAGCTAAAGAAGCTCATCAATGATGCTTTCAATTCATGAAGACATGCAAGAGTTAGATAAGATGTGGCAAATATAGTCATACTTGGCCTTATCAAGTCTCTACCTTTGGTAAACTTCTTTAACATTGCTAATTAGCATTGCTCTACCATAAATGTAGGTAGTGATTCTTCTTCCCTTCTTGATAGTAGTTTGATGGACCTTCAAATATTTTTCAAAATCTTCAAAAATCAAATCAATGCAATTGGCAGCACATGGGGTCCAATACAAATGCTCTCGTTTTTGCATCAATAACTCTCCAGCTGCCTTGAAATTTGCAGCATTATCGGTAACCACTTGAACCACATTCTCCTCTCCAACAAATTCCATTACATCATCCAACATCTTAAACACTTTATCTGCAGTTTTTGAGATATCTGATGTATCCAATGAGTAAAGAAACACAGTCCCTTTAGGACTATTGACTAGAAAGTTACAAATAGAATGTCTTTTTTTGTCAGTCCACCCATCAGACATGATTGTGCAACCTGTTCTTTTCCACTCCTCCTTATATTCTTCAAGGATTATATCAGTTTTTTGCACTGCTTGTTTCAAAAGTTTTTCTCTAATATCATGATATGATGGGAGTTTGTAACCAACTCCATATCTTCCAATCATCTCACACATTTTTGCAAAAGCAGGATTTCTAATAACATTGAATGGAATGACACTTGTGTAAAAAAATTCTGCCACTTGAGCATCGACCTTTTCTTTATCTCCTTTCTTATACAGTTGATTTAAAGTAGATTGAACACCTTGACTGAATTTGTCCTTTCCTTTATTTTTGAACATCATACTACTACTACTTTGAGTGGTATCCACCTCTTGAATGTGCTCATCATCATACTCATCAATTATATTTCGTCTCCTTTTCTTTTTTGAAACATCTTTAGCCTCTGCCACAACTTTCATCATTACAACTTTCACTTCTTCTGGAACTGAGGCACAGGGTTCAGAATCATATCTAGTACCGGCAAGATGATGTTTGAATCTGAAAACTCCTCCATTGAATATTTTTGAGCAGTAATTACATTTAACCTTTTTCCCATTACCCGAAACATCTATTCCGTGTTTCCATCCAATGTCGGTCTGGTTTCCTAAAGCATTTTTACTTCTAGGTCTAGGTAGTGAAGATACATGAACATTGGAATCACAAGAATTTGAAGCAGTCCCACTTCCGGACATTGCAAATCAGTCTCACTTAACTAAAAATAAAATATTTTATTTTTTTAGAACAACTATAAAAGACAACTAAAATAAAATATAAAATATGCAATAAAAAATAAATTCAATAAATAAAACAGAGAATAAATTATATAAATACTAACTATTCAATGAATAAAAAAATAAATAAATAAAATTTACCAACTAGATTTTTGCCTTATACTAACTATTCAATGAATAAATAAAAAAAAAGTTTTAGGCAATGCATTATTAGAGAAATGCAACGCACCCTCACACTCACTTATGCACCAACGCATGAACCAGACACGAGATAATCAGACCTGTGAAGCGAGGCAATCAGAGTTGCGACGCGAGGCGACCAGAGCTGCAACACGAGGCGACCGAAAGTGTGACGCCACTGAGCTGCGGGGCGACGACACGACGCGACTAAAGCTTCGACGCAATGATACCAAAGCTGCGGGGCGATGACATGATGCGACGCGACCAGAGCTGCGACGCGCGACACCAGAGCTGCGGGGTGATGATGAAATGCGAATACAAAGGTCAGATCTAGGTTTTCTTGTTCGATTTTCTCTTCTTCTTTGATTAGGGTTTTTGATTTGGGTTTCAATCTCTAATTTCGTTTAGGTTTTCGGTTTGGGTGGTTAGGGCTTTTGTTTGGGTTTAAAATTGAAATGCTGATGACATTTTTGCTTGTCGTTTCGTCCCTCTCTACGGACTCGGTGACTCACTCTCAAACTCGCGAGTCTATTCCGAGTCAGCGAGTTTACTCCGAGTTCACTCTGAGTCAAACAAAAAACGAGTTTATACGCGAGTTAACCCGTAAACAATAACTTGACTCGCTGACTCGTACGGGTGTACGAGTCAACCTGCGAGTTCGATAACCATGTGGCCTAGTAAGCATAACACAGCGATAAAAGCAAGAATTGTGGGGGTGTATTGTGATTGTTAAACCGCTAACACATAGTAAATGTTTTGGTTCATATAACTTATTATACCAACTACACTGTGTGTTAAGTTTTCAAACTAAGACTGGTTCATATAGCTTGTTATACCAGCTCTGATGCATTACATCTTGATATCCAAAATTTTCTTCTTTTGTTCTTTTATCACCTTTTTGTTTTGCAATATGTGGGGGGATTGTTTTAAAATAAAGGTATTGCAAAACTTAAAACGTGTTCCACTAACCTAGAACATGTTTCACTAACCTTGAAGTGCTTCACTCTCCCATGTTTCCAGGGCACAACCACCTATGATGTTGAATGCGGAGATGGGTTTGTTGCTCATACTACACCTATAAATAGATCATTCCACACTCCTCTAAAAACACACCTCACTCATTTTTTCTCTTCTTCCCTCTCACTTCTCTTTTCTTGGGTTTACACACTCTTCTAAGAGTTTTTTGCTAGTTTTTGAGTTTTTCGGAAAATCCGGAAAATTCATATTGTATCCTGGGAGACTTATGTAATACTCCGCGGATAAGTTTTTAAGGACATCGATTTTACACGCCTCAGGAATCAAGTCTTTTGGTGTCTCTATCGGCTTTTACAACACTTACTACATGTAGAACCCCTTCTCTTGGTGATGAAGCCACTCTTCCTTTTACTAGATATCATTTTACTAAAAAGATAAGTATGACTTGTTTTTGTTTTCATACCGCTTTGTATTTGAAATCTAGTAATGAAAACACTTGGTGGGAGTTTTTTGTGGGACAAACTTTTGCAATTTGAGCTGCCAAGTAAGTTTGTAAAAGCTAATATGTTACTGGTAAAGTGAATATGATATCTGTGTTATTTCCCTTTCTTGGTAATAATCTCAATTTTGGTTCTGGTCCTTTCTTTATTCTTATGGATATTTCAGGTAAATGTTGCTCTAGATTTACTCAGAAAGAATGATGTCTCTGCTGCAATATTTGCTCCTGGATGGGTCTATGAGACAAAACAAGCACCAGATTTTGAGACTGCTCAGAATAGGTAATTTAGGTACCTGTTTTGCAATAACCAAAAAAATATTGCACTTGTTCTTTACAAGGTTAACTGAGTTATGCACAATAATTTTTTGAGGGGAAAAAAAAAAAAAAAACTCATGGCATACGTGGTCAACATTGAATATACAGAAAGAACATGAAGCAGGGGATAGTGCAAAGGCTGGAGACGAAATAAAAAATAATGATGAATTCAATCCATCTCTACAATTCTAAATATCTATAAGAAGGATCTTTTTAAAAAGTATGAGTATAAATTATGGTTACCCCAGAAATGCACTTCAATATCTTCAAAGGTTGTGATTTCATTCGGATGGCATCTGCTAGCTTAAAATTTTACCTACTAAATTAAGACAAAACATGTCCCTTTTGTCTCTTCTATTCTTTTTGTGATTAATAATATAGTATATCTGGACAAACTACCTGATTTGCATTGCTAAAATTTATCGTATGACTAGCTTGGTATTTTATAACATTCTCTAGATTATATTTCTACCCTATCACTCCTAGAAAGTAAATATAAAATTTGTGAAGATGTTTTGTTAATTTTTAGAATTCACGATCTTTTACACTATGTTTTTGTCACTTGAAACGACCATATACTATATTTTAGTAAATTCGGTTTCAAGTTTGTTACTTCATTGATTTCCCAAGAGAATCATATTTTATAAAATTGGTATTTCTAGGAGTCTGGCCAATTTTTTTCTCTTTAAATTTGCTGAAGTCACATATTACAAAATTCACGAAAGCAGAAATATTTGAGAAACTTCATTGTTTTATCCTATAACTCTTATTGCCATAGGAATTCTAAAATATTTCATGCATTTTCAAATGGGGTTTGGTGGTGGGTACAAATTACATGGTCAAACTTTCTTTTTGTATTAATGATGAAGATCAAATCTAAAATTTCTTACTAATAGATATCAGCATTATTGCTCTGCTCTGTTATTGCAGTTGGTGGGGTCTTGTAGAAAAGTCATGGGGAGTACTGCGAACATTTCCTGGAACACTACCATTCTACACTGATTTTGATCAGGTTAACGATTGCAATTCTTGTCCCCTTTGTAGTTTTTCTTTCGTTGTCTACGCAAAGTTTCTTTTGTCTTTGTGCATTTGGAGGTTGCTTTTTTCCCTACGTTCTGAATAAAACTTTGAAGATAATTTTTTGCACATTCTATTCAATAGGATTTATTTTTAATTTAATTTCAGTGAAAATGATTCTAAGACTAATTTGTGAATTGCAAGAGGATGATGGTGGGTAGACTGTATTTTTTTCCATAAAGACAAACTTTAGCTCAGTGCACATCAACTGGCATGGACGAGATGAAATGGTGAACAACCCAAAATCTAGCATGGAACCTCCATTAAAGAAATAATTTTCTGCATGTTATCTTAAAAGCTTAAAGACCTCAGCAATCTTCTAAAATAAATAAATAACCTTAATAATTTTCCTTCTGACCAATCTTACTTTAGATCAAATACTTGTATAACCTTGTATTTAAATGTTGGCATTCTATCTCTAAAATGTATCATATCTTTGTTACTTTCAGGGGCGTGGCTATCATATTTCAGTTGATGGTGACAATGTATCAGATACTACTTGGTGCAACATTTCTTGCCAAGGTTTCCAGGTATGTATGTGTCTGGTGATCATTCTTATTGTTGGCTCAACAATTAACTGTATAGATCGTTGATTAGATAAATATATGCCCCGAATTCTTATTTTGTCGTTTCTAAGTTTAGGAGGTAATTTTAAATAACATCGATATAATAACTGGAAACAGAGTTCAGTTTAACATTGTGAATTTGTGATACTAGTTGAAGAGCTTTATTCAAATCTAACTCGAACATTTGTGTGCAGCCACAACTTGGGTTTTCCGATCCTGCAAATTCTATTCAAGTTTCTGTAGAGTAAGTGATGGTACATAGCTAATATTTTAATAAGTTCCTGTACTGGGAAGTGTAACAGGATGTGCACATCATATATTACATCTGTTCAAAGTATGCTATAACAGCGTGTGGCTTAACTGAACAATTTGTGTGAAAGTGTTTGAAAGAAAATTCATCATAAGAATATTTTTACTTATTGAATTAGAAGATTTATATAAGACTTTATCTTAGATAGAAATGTGATTTATTATTAAACTTTAATTATTTTGCCATCCCCTGGAATGTCTTTATCGATATTGTGTGAAAACATAAGTTGTTTTGTATGTTAAGTTTTACTTTTCTATATTCTAAAACCTTACATAATATTGAACATCTTTCTTTTCTATTCCTCCATTTTAATGAGATATTGAATTAATACATTTTCATTCTAGTTCCGACATGATCTGATGTATTTATTGACTTGCTTTCAAATTGAAGCTTGAAGGAAGCATCATATAGTGGAGGGGGAAACATTACATTCAAAGGATCCCTTGAAGAGCAAACTTACTTTGAGAGCAAAATCCTTCAAGGAGAGTTTCTTTTGAGCGAGTTGCCTATCCACTTTTTTTATTCTGTAAGCTATAACTTCATCATTATTGCTGAAAAAACTGCACTTCAATTCAATCTGTGTTAAAGAATGCCATCATGTTCATATAACCTGGAATAACCATCGATTGCATCAGTTTGATTTAATTGTTAGTGCAAAATCACCGACTTCATTTATGAACTGAACCTGGTTATGAATTTGAGGCAAGGAGAATTAGAGTGTGTTATATTGATAAATGGTTAGATATTCATCCAGTCAAATTGACTGAAATGATGTGTGTACTAATTCTATCTGAATCCTCTTTTTCACACATGAAGTGAATGACTAATGCAGGTGAAATCTGATGGCAATTCTTCATTGGGACTTAAGCTAGAGTTCACATCCACTGGCAATGACCGAAGAGCATCTATACTTCTCGCACCCCGGGCAGTGAATAATTTTTCAAGCAAGTTCAGCAAAGTAATCATGACTCGTGAACATAAGGGAATTTCCTCTGGATGGGTTATAAATGAAGGTGAAGTCGCAATGAATGGATACACTTTAACAGAAATCCATGCAGTGTGCTATAGATCAGATTCTCGAGTCAATGAAATAGGATGGCAACACAGGTCAAATGACAATGATGGAACTGTGGCTTCCCCATTAGATTATTTTACACTTCTTGGTCATATCACAATCAAAACTTCTGACTATAAATCAGATTTTCCTGTGTCTTCTTCCTGGCTAGTTGATGGCACCTGCATAAAATGGACATCAGACCCTCTTGGTTCAAAGACCCTCGATGTTAAAATTTCTTGGAAACTAAAAAATGAGAATAATTATTTATTTTTAAAGTACAACGTTTACTTGGTGAAATTATCAAAACAAGCAGGTGGTAGTCCAGGTACAACATTAGAGGATGTAAAAGAGTACCTTGGAGTAGCACAAGTAAGCTGTTTCTATGTTTCTAACCTCATAGTTCCTTCAGACACTTCTACTCTCAAATTTATAATACAAGTCTGCGGTGTAGATGGGACAATTCAGGAATTGGACGAGTCTCCATATTATGAATTGGAAGTTGAAGGTAGTTAAATTGTCATGAAAATGTAACACTAATTCTCCAATAAAAGGAAGCCTCAATTGTCATTAGAATGTAATATTTAACATCATTTATTCAATAAACGAAGACCCCAACTTGTCATTAGAAGGTAACATTGTAACATTGTTTCTCCAATAAACAAATACCCAAATTGTGATTCAAATGTTACACTAGGATTGGACAATTCACATTTGTGCTGCAGTAAGCATTAGAACTTATCAACAAAGATGCTTTACCTAATAAACCTTCCTTCTTAGATTCATGCTCAACATGCAAGTAACATGACCAAAATAGAAGCTTAATTTACATGAATGAAACTTTTTCGAGTAACCTCTGGACATCCTGTAAGTCAGATGTTACTTTTCTAATTGTGTAAAAAATATTATCACCTTATTGAAGATTTTGATCGTATCAAAGCTACAAATTTTAATTTCAAATCTACTTCCCTACAACTTATTCGTATGTAAGGTTTGGTCTTGCTATTTTCTTAAAAAAGTTTTTCAAAATTAAAAAACATGCTTGTAATTTTTATAATAGTTAGGTGAGTTTGTATTAAAAATTAGGGTTTTTTCATAAGTTAAAAATGTTTGTTTCTGAAAAAAAAAATCTATCAAACTATGTATAATCAGATGCTATATTGTCGCCCATAATTAGATTCTTTTTTTTTTTTCCTTTTGAGATGTAAAAGGTGAACTTTATGTTTTATCAACTTGTTTAAAGTGCTTAATTATTTGTTCGTATCAAAATATTGAATGAATTATGAATGGTTATTCAATGAAATGACTCTGCATATGCATAACCAATAATTGAACACACAACATTATCTTCATGAGTAGCTTTAAAATGTTTCAGTTTTTTAACAAAACAGATTTGTTTTGTGTTCACATCTTGATATGGAAAATTTAGTAAGATAATTGCATGATGAAGTTCTTTTTTTATCACCAAATAAATCAACTTTTTTTTATGTGGAAATAGATTTCACCTTAACAAAAAATAAATACGATTGTAAGTTTTTTTTTTAATTTGCAGTGTTTTTTATAACTTTAAATTTATATTATGATTTTTTTTCTTTGGAAATTTTGTCGATTTGAAAGAACATAATCAATATAAATATTTAATTTATTTATACAGGAATCAAAGTTTATATTTATAATTATCATAAAATTATCATTTGAATTCAAGAAATGTAAGTAAAAAACAATATTTTTTATTATTTTAGAAATTTTTAGTGAAAAGCTTTTGGGTGTGGAGAAAGTAAATTAAGAGAAAATTATACTAAATATGAAAAAAAAATTAAAAATTAAGCAAAGTAACTTAATTTTAAAAATATTTGAAAATGTAATTAAGTAATTAAAATTTTAATTGTAAAAACTTATAACGTAATTTTAAGATAAACAAAATAAGCTATTAGTTATTCTTCCAGGTGTTACGCAAGTTTTAACTATTTTGTCTGTTTCTTGGATGAATATAATGGATGGATGATGTGGGTTGTTAATTTTAGGGTTTGATTTATTTTCTCGTCAATTTAGTGGATCAAGCACAGAATGAGTTGGATCGTTAATTTTTTTTTTAATATTTATATATTAAAATTAAAATAATTATATTAAAAATATTTTTTTAATTGTTATTAAAATATATAAATATATTATAATATTATAATTTAAATAATAAATACTAATTAGTTTAATTTAAATTATAAATTCTAATTAAATATTTTTGTTGACTATTTGTAACCCAAAACTGTAATAGAAAAACGTTTTAGACTAACAGATTTTCAGTTCTGTACTAGAAACAGAACCATGCACCTTAAATACTACCTCAGTACTGTAAATATGTGTGTGCAAAAATAAAATAAAAAGTTGTTTTTTTGTATACTTATCTTTTCCTCCTTAAAAGTGTGTTCCTTTGTTCCTCTTGTTGTATGTTGACACGAACCCTGCAAAATAAAAAGGAAAATCACGATTAGTAAAATAGAGAGAAGATTAATTGGTGAAAGTGAAAGTAGAGAGGTGATTCATCGATGTGGTAGTAAAGAGAAGTGATCGGTGAAGAGAAGAAGAGGTGAAGCAAAGAAAAGAAGAGAAGGGTTCAAGTGTTCGAGAGAAACAGATAAGATTGCAAGAGAGAGAGAACTGAGAAAGTAAAAGCGACGCGTGGTAGGTGTGACAACAGAGATATTTTTTTTTTCCTTTGAGTTGGGTTGAAACTACAATGGGCGGCCCAATAGAGTGATATCAGAGCAAGGTTCAAGAAGAAGAAATATTTTGTGTGTAGTTGCATGTTATACTCATGGCTGGGGGAAATCTGATACCGGAAAACCTACTTATATTTGATGGAAAAGGTTATGATGAATGGTGTGTAAAGATAAAGGTGATTCTTGGCTTCCAAGAAATTGATGAGATTGTAAAGGTGGGTTTCAAAGAACCACCCAAGAATGCAGATGAAGAGACCAAGAAAACATATAAGGAGATGAAGAAACTAGATTGCAAAGCCCGGGTGTTATTGCATCATTGTGTAACAACATACATTTTTCAGAAAATCTTCAAGGTAGGAACAACAAAGGACGCTTGGGAGATTTTGCAGAATGGGTATGAAAATTCTGGGAAGACTACAAGAAAAACACCAAATAGTGACCGAAATTAGTGACTGAAAAATTCAGTCACTGATAGTAACTGAATCAGTGATTGATTTCCCTTTTTATATTTAGTGACTGATTTAGTGACTAAAATTTCGATCACGAGATATCGGTCATCGATTCGAGTCACCAAATCGGTCATCGATTCGAGTCACTACTAGAAAAATGGTTAATAGTGACCGAAAGTGGTGACTGAATTTTTTTTATATTTAGTAACCGATTTAGTGACTAAATTTTCAGATCACTAAAAAAATAATTTTTAAATTGATAACTATTTTTCATTTATATAAATATTTTATTTAAAATATTTTAAATATAAATCTACTTAATAATTTAAAATAAGTGATAACATTGTTAATAACATTATAAAAATTTAAAAAAAATAGTTTACTAACTTATTAAATAATTTAGTAATATAATTATTTAATTTTATTTTTTAATTTAGCATGTGAATAAAAAAATTAAAATTGATTATTAAATTAGTCACCGAATCGGTCACTGATTCGGTCATTGAATCGAGTTACTAAATCAATAATTAAATTAATTATTAATTTAGTCTCTTTTATATATATATTACTTGTATGTTAATAAAAATGTATTTCAATGTATTTATAAAAAATTAAAATTATTTTAATTACTGAATTGATATTTTAAATTTATATTAATATCTTGGATAATTTAATAGTTGGATATATATTTTAAGTTTATATTAGTCACTTTTATATAAAAGTGTAAAAATAAAGTGAACTTATTTTAAAATTTAATTAAACATAATAATATATATAATATAGTATTAACCATAAATATGTGAAGATTTAGTTAGAAATTAATTTTAAGTTTTATTGTTTTTATTTAAAAAAATCGTTAAAAAAATTTAAAATAATTAATTAAAGTAAATAATTTTAATTTAATAAATGTGTTAATATTATTAGAAGAATTAAATTTATATTAATAATTATATAAAATTATAGATATATTAAAATTTAAATTATTGGTAATTTTTTTAATTATTAAGCTAAAATTTGATAATATTAATAAATTAAAAAAAAAAAAATATATATATATATATATATATATATATATATATACATATATATATATATATATATATATCACTTTAATTTTTTTAATTAAAATTAATTTCATAAAAAAATTAATATTTGAAAATTAAAATGCAAAAGTATATATATTTATCTTTTATTTAATTATACTTTTACACCTAAAAAAGAAAAAAATAATAAAATTTTCTTTTATTAATCATTTTTATAAAATAAAAAAATATATAATAATTACTTTTATAAAAAAAAATTTAACGTTCTTGATTCTTTAACAGATTTGTTTTAACCGATACGACAACGTTTATATCAATTAAAACACTTTACAAAAAATATTCTAAGTTGATTTAATCGATTGTTTCAGCGATTCAATCGATTGAAATACTGCAAAACTTTCTCGTAAAACTTTTCAAGTTATTTTAAGCTGATAAAAATAAGTTTTAATCGATTAAAACGTCTGCAGAAATTGTTTTAATCGATTGAAACGAGATTTAATCGATTAAAATAGTTCTGATCGGTCATAACTCGCATTATGATCGATCATAATTGAAACGATATAATAGCGGTTCCAGGTTAACCGCTATCTAAGTGAGCTTTTAAGAGCGGTTCCTGTGTAACCGCTATCTAAAATGTATCTCGCTTGAGCGACACTCTTCTCGCTCGAGCGAAACGCCTCACTGCACAAAATTGGCATTCTCGGGTTGTATTTCGCTAAGCGACTCTAGTATCGCTCGAACGATATTTGATTCTGATCGATTAGATTTTAGAAATGATCGATCATATTTTATAATTTTTTCAAATAATTAATTATAATCGATTAGTTTTCTAAATTATTGATTAGAATTGATTAGTTTTTCAAATAATAGATTAGGATTGATTATTTTCTGAAATATATACTAAAAATTATAATTAAAAATATAAATTAGTTAAGAATATTGACTATTGTAAAGATAAAGTAGAACATGGGAGGAGATGATGATGATAATATAATGATAGAACTTACAAAAATGTAGAATTGAGAAGTTTGAAACAAATAAAATTAAGAAAATAGATATTTAATTACACTTTTAATAAATTTAAGATAATACTAGTTTTGATTTTTATTTTTAAATATTTATTTTAATTATTTAAAACAGAGAAACTATAATTTTAGTTTCTAGCTACTTGAATTTAAAGAATTAAATTTATTATTATTTAATCTTTTAATTTGTAGAATTAAACTCAATATAATTGTTAAAAATACTTTGTAGAGGCATTTGAGAAAGCTTTTGTCAAAATACTTTGTTTTTAATTGTTAAAAACA